ACACGCAAACACATACATACTCCAGGTGTTGAAATACGATCTTCATCTTTCACCTGGACTTCCTCTCTGCCTCTACCCCCCACTACGAAATGCGGCCGTAAGCAACAGGTATTCGGCACTGCAACTAAATCTTCAAGATAGTGTTATCTGCTTCTATCTTTCTTCTTTTTGTAAAGGAATAGCATTATCAGCATGGCCCATGAGAAAGAGTCAGAAGTACCCCCTACCTCCACCCATTCCGTTGTTGAGGTCAGCATCCCAGGGGTCAGTCCAGAGGTCATGAATGGTATATTAGAACATGTATATGGTGGGAACATCATCATAACTGGTGATAATTTGGAGGGTCTACTGATTGGAGCAGATCGGTTCCAGGTGAGTATAACTGAAGTTGAAAAAAAAAAAGGTTGAAACTTGTTCACGTTCTTTTTTCTGCGATTAAAACAAGAACTTATTGCTCTGCTTAATCTTCCCAGGTCTTTGCCTGCGGATCTAAACGTTGGGTCACCAACAAAATCTAAAAGCGCATTATTAAGGTCACTCCAAACTAGGGTTCAGACACGTTTTCTTTGATATTAGCATAAATTGGGTAAAAGAATTAAATCGGGTTATTTACAGCATACCCTTAAAAAGCATACACATAAAACATGAAAAAGTTAGCCTGTTTTCATCAACGCGACACTTCAATGTAAGCCTTTTAAACGCAGTCCAACCAACTGCGGTGTATCTACAATGCGTGTGTTTGCTAGTTGTTTTTTCTTGTTTTTTATGCCTGGGATTTTGAGGAGGTGAGAGGGGTGTTTCAAGTGAACATTGCAGATTATGAATGCCGTTTTTCTCAGTCTTCATTATACAGGCTTATTTGGGGTAAAAGTTTACTTTGACCACCTGCTTTTAACATATTTTATTTATCTTAAAATGTATTTCGTGTTTGACCCAAGAGCGGCCCCACTGAGAGTGGGAGGAAGAAATGTGTTTGGGGTGTGTAGGTAATAATAGGTGAAATGAGCCTTCCCATTTGGAACATATTTGCGAGCGCGGTAGTAAAAAAAAGACTTGAACTCAAGGAGAGGGGAAGTTGGGTTTTTTTTCTGTAGTCGTTGCTTTATTCAACAAGTACCACCGTCTCTCAGCTGAGATGCTATATTTCAATATCATTCCGGGATGGATTAAAAAAGCCCGCCTTTAACATGGATTACATATTGTCGAGTGGGGCATTAATACATATGAATACGCAACGTTTTTCTGAAATTTCTTGTAGGAGTTTTCGCGTGCGTACTCTCGTGGTTATCTCTATCGGATACTATCTTCCCACCAAGCTTACCTCCAATATTAACCTAGAGATGACATACAAAGAATAATATTTCATGATTTTTAAAAACTTTTCCAACCACATCGGTTTAGTTTTAGTTGGGGTTTTACGTCGCTCGCAACTGCATTAGGTCATATGAGCGCCAAGGGGTGGATGTCAACAGAGAAGTCCTTACAGAGAATCATACTTACTCGACTCACCTCTCTAGCTTCAACAGCACAAACTCTGCTTCGACTATCAAGGCGCCTTGGAAATGGCGGGTCCCAAGAGTGTGACAAACATGCAAAAGAAGTAGAGGAAAATGACGATAGTAAAAATTAGGAAAGAAAAAGCAGCAGTTCCCTGTTGCAGCTCAGGCACAGTTATGAGCATGACATCGATGAATCAGCCCTTTTACAATTAAAAATTTACTGTACACAAGAACAGGTTAATGCCCCACCCCCTCCCCCACCTTTGGGAATGGCCTAAAGACACTTCAGTCAATAGCACCGCCCCGGGGGGTTACTAAACAGAAGCAAAAGTAGCACAACGCTGGTGGAGTGATGAAACCTCGCAACCCCAGAAAGGAAAATTGTACAGGGGAGACAAAAAAAATGATTTACTTGTGAACAAATTGATCTATATGAAAGTTGGTACAGATAAATGAAAACACCTTAGAAACGTGGTTAGTACGCAAAAATCACTTTTCTACTGTTTAAATTGTTACGCTGTGGGATGCGAGGTTTCATTACAACATTTTTGTTGTGTTGAAACCTCGTAGTCAACCGGCGGGAGGGTTGCGAGGTTTCATCAGGACAGAGTTTGAGGGTTGCAAGTTTTCTCGCAGCTCATTTGGTTGCAGTTTGCATCTCTGTTGTTTGGAACGCCACAAAGTGATGAAGATGTTTCTTCAAGATCAATTAGTTAAGAGTTGGATTCCGGGCCAACTGAAGTCAAATAAATGTGTGTTATCTGCAGAATTTGGGTTTGAAACCTCAAACGGATCAGCGATTTGTGCAATCTGTTTCAGTATAATTTTCAAGGATTAGGTCTGGTTACTTCCATTTTACAAAAAAGCACAGATGAATAGTATATCTCTGCAATATGGTCTCTGTTTGCAATACAGATGGCTTTTACAATGGTAAGAAATAGATCTAGATCAAAATATAGACATGTTTTTCAAAGTTTTAATGCGTCAGTCCATTACACAATTCATTAAGAAAACAATGTAACACACACACACACACACACACACACACACACACACACACACACACACACATACATACACACACACAAACGCCCAACACAAAATGCTTTGAAAAACGAATGTAGGATGTCAATCAAATAAAAGGTGGTGGGTCATGAATACTAATTGGGTTAATTATGAAAATACAAAACGTACGTGCAGACAAAAAAAAACCACCAAAAAGATCAGTACGATGTCTGGGACTGAATCCCCCCCCCCCCCTAATAAATAGCTATTGATGATAAGGGGGTAAACTGTTATAAAGTGATGGCGTATTGGAAATAACAGATTCAAGCTCCTACATGTGATTGTACTTGGGAGTGCTGGATTTTAAGACGTTCTGTGTTCAGTGGTGTAGCAAGATGGACCTCATGTTTCTGTGTCCTGCCTTCGCAACGTCAGCCCATTCATCACTGAAGTGCAGCTTGAACTGGATGTTCATGACTGGGGTGTACTTCAAAGGCCTGATGTCGGTGACAACAGGATCACCCGTTTTTCTACCTGGTTTGATAGACTTGTAGCTTCCTCACTTAGAATAATGTGTGATCCAAATATTTGTCTTGTTTTTCTCTGGCCACCCTGGAGAAATGGAGGTAGTTAGGGGGAGATCGATTCGAGCTTTTCGAACCGATCTTTCAATAGTTGAGTGTACAGTCAACTTACATTTGTGTGTCCTTTGATCAACCATTTCTGTTCAATTGTGCTACCATGTGTGGTTGCAAACAGGCTGAGAGAAACATTGGCAAGTGTAGCATTTCTGTATTGGTAACCACAGCCGTCGTGGTCGAGGATGGTTTTCTGGAAGTACAGCTTTTCCTTCAAGAAAGCCAGTAGACATAAAGCAAACTTATTTGCTAATTCCCCCTTCTGCTTCATGCCACACGTAGCAAGTAGTCTGGTGTGTTGCAGCTTCAAATATCGTTAAGTTATGAACGACACGCTTTGTTTTGTTTAATATAAGGCTGATGCATTCAGTTTGGGTGAGTGTAAGTGTAAGAAGTACAAGCTGAAGATCCATAGAAAACATGCGCCGTTTTAGGTTCATCACTGGCGAGATATTTGATGGCTTCAGAT